GAGATTTTCAATTATAAGTCATGTATTCGAAGTTACCACCCCAATGGTACACCTTATAACGCCAACTACAATACTGTCTATAGTTTACGCGAGTAGTACATATTTAAATAAAACACTTTAACGGTTTAAAACGCGACATATTAGTTAAACTTATTTGAAAATGATTTTTAACTTCGGCCCGACGTTTCGTGACCACGGCTGCTGCAAAGCATCCAAAAGGAAACGAAATCCGAACGTTTTATTAAATATTAAGTTTAATTATTTTAACTACGACCCGACGTTTATCTATTAACTAATATATCGCGTTTTAAACTGTTAAAGTGTTTTATTTAAATGCCAACTACAATTTCAATAAGAAAAATCGTCATTTACCTAGATCACCACCATTAACATGGATCGTAGATTAAGTAATGGTATTAAGCTATAGTGAGCCTATGCCCCAGCAAAAGAAGCTCCTAAAAAAACGAGCGCGACGGCAAACTTAAAACCTTATTAGGTGCATCGAAATTTACATACCAAGTGTTACATCTCATGTAGGTTATCGAAATTAGGTCAAGAGCGAATCGTCCGACAACGATGACCTAATGAGAATAACGTTGTTAAGAAGAAACCAACTTTAGAATCATGACACATACATCGTCCTTACTGGAAGAATGGTCTAATTGTATCCTCCTGACCACCGACCTTTATTCAATCAAACAAAAACTTTCAAGACAAGGACTAACGATGAATCAACTTTGTGCGTAAGTGACCACTAATGCTAAAAAATGCCTGAAACATCTGATTTTTTTATAATAGAGAAGGAACGCATGGAGTTCACATGATGGTACGCAAAATACCCCGGCATTACCTATAACAAAGCGCTGTCGATAAATTTTGGATTTGTATACTTGGAACTCCAGAAATTAAAACCGAAACGCGACATTAACTTTGCGATATTCCTATCACCTATTTAATATCTATATATACATAATACGGATTTCCAGGAATGGTTCATCTTTAAAAAATCATAAATTTATTAGAACCATGTTAGACCCGGTAGGGATAGTATCCTCGACCCGTTAAAAATATTGCTACCTTTTATATAGTTCAAGACATAGATACATTTTGTCTAAATTTGCAATCTACACAGTAAATCGGGTTTCCAAACATTACATGAGTCATAGTGGACGAATTCTACTATAATTTACACGCGCAAGCTACGCAGCCTGTCCGCATTACTGGACAACCCCGTTCTGTTCATGAGGTCTATTTCAGTTGCGTAAAATACGTAAAAATCTTGCATTTAACAGTCCCTGATAAGTAGAAACGCATGTATTGTAGCACTGTCGGAAGTGTTGAAACTGACGAAGCGCTAAATATAATTTGTGGGACGCCATTTTACAGCTTTACACCGGCCCACATTCTGTATATTAACCGTTTCAACTTATTTATTACGCTATTTCTGTGAAACTGGTAAAGGTACGTTTGACATTACGCAACCATCGAAACGCAAATTATATGCGACATTTTTGACGGGTTTTAAAAATATTAATGAATACAGTTCAACTTTTAATCCGTTAAAAATATTTTATTTTATTTACCACCCACGTAATCTCCGTAACGCTACAAGCGACTATATTTTATCTCAACAGTAGTTTAGTAGAAGGAATATTTGTATGTAAAATACTTGCTAACTTCAAAATAGGCACTAGTACAGTGGTCTGTATATTTTGGGATTCATAATTTCCCTTTATCAATATTATTAATAAGCATCGATTCACATTTGATATAATTGATAGCCTCCTTGGAAGATGTCGTGACAGAAAATATAGTCACTAATTTTTTTTGGAGTCTGGCACTTAAAGAAGGATAATCTAAGCTTGAAGTGTTTTCAGATTAAATTTATGACTTGTTTGTGTAAAATTTTGACTTGTTATACTATAAATAACCACTTCATTCATGGTTTAAGTCATTGAGAGCCATTCATTACTTCTTATCAATACATAAGGTAAACTCTGCGGGGGAAAATAGACACAAGGATAATATAACAAACATTACATTGAATGAGATTTATTTAGCCACAGATGAAATATTAATATAATTTCTTAACAAGATAAGTTAAAAGCATGATTTTTAGGAGACTTTGTGTAGCTTTTTTTTATTTGTCTGTACATGCATTAAACACAAGTGATTTTCTCCTGGTCAATAGACACTTTTTGGTCAACCAGGGTCTGATCTACGTCTTGTCTATAAATTGATGAGAGCTATGAATATAGATTTGTTTTTGCCCCATACCCCAAGTAGGGCAAACAAGATTTCATTCCCAGTCCATATGGCAGTTGTGTTATGTAACAAAACTATTAAAACTTGTTATTTGATGATATGTCTTAACAATAATGATATCATAAATATGCTGTCATGATCTTGCAATACATCTTACTTCATATGTCTTAATATGGTAATATTCAAGTGCCAAGTTATAACATACAACAACATTATGTCAATTGGGACTTTTGTGACTATATGAAGTTTAACAAAGTCAAGTATATAAGTTACTAATACGAAAAATTTCAATTAGATACCGACAATGTAGGAACACATATTGTATATATTCAAAAAAGTAAAGATAGAAAAAATGGCTACTTATTTGCACTGATCTATGAAGAACTGAATGGGTGATACATATTCAGAAATAATGCATTCAATATTAACATCTTTCATCAATTACAATATTTTATTATATTTTGAGATTATTGGTAATTGTTATTTGTGTAATGATCATGTGCAGTACTTAGTTAAATTTTATAATGAATATATTATATTTGCATGTAAAAATGCTAATATAAAAGAAACTAGGGAGTGGCAAGTTGGGATACATTCACATTATTTTTATAAAGGAATAATTATACTAGAAGAAGCTTGAAGATAATTTTATAGCTATTTTAAGACAAAAGCATACATGTTAATTTTAATATTAAAATCACTGAATCAATAGATCTATTTAAAAGTTCTGATGTCATTCCTATATGGGTTTATGTAGGTGCTGCAAGGCCGAGACAAACTAGCCTCTTTTAAAGACATCTGATAAAAAATTACAACGTATCCAGGCATTTATAACAATCCATACGTTAATAAGTAAAATTCAGTCCGCAAAAGCTCTAGGCTAGGCTGAATTACATTTGTAAACATTATTCTCGGAGAGTTAATGTAGGAATTTAAAATTATTCACAGGATTCAATTACATTACTCTCATAAGATATAACATTTTCCACTAAAATTTCCATGAAAATCAGGTTACATGCAAATTTCGATCGATATTTATATTTATACGGAATCCTGAAAGCTCCGTACAAGATGGCGGGAATATAAACCGACAAAATAAAGTTGAACGGGATCGAGTGGAACGCCAACGCTAATGACCCGACCCCAATTCGGTCGGATTATACGTCTGATCAGACAGATGTATGGATTCTTATTTCGTACAAGACTTGTAATATTTGTGGATAGTTGTAATTATTCCCAAATATAGATAGCGGAGTTATGTTTTCATACTTACCGTTTTTTTAGTTATTTGTCACGTTTTCACTACAAAACACTTAATTTTTTAGCACAAGCACTCACACGCCCTTCAGTATGTAACAACATCACGCGTACACTGCGCCCTCTGGTGTAAAATCAGTTAAATGTTTACCTGCGGCTAAGTTCACGTTGATGTTAATTGAATTTTCCCTCGTTAATTAACACGTTATGAAGAACTTGTACTAGACTTCCACAAATGTATTTATGATTACAAAATACAAGTTGTATTCTAATGTAATTTGGTTTTTAAATGTTAGAAAATCAGCCTTATTCCTGGCACATTTGTTAAGAGTGAAGTATTGATTTTGTCGACGGCCGCAGCTGATTCATACTTCATAGTGGGTACAAGGGAAGGCGATTTCGCGCAATTCATGAAAGATCGTATGAGTCATCCATATTTTTGTACCGTTGTTTATTAATCATTTATAATGACATAATGCTTTATAATGTACGCAATATAAATGTAAACACTTCATCGTACGAGTAGAATACAAATTTAAGATTATTATGTTTCGGCTGTTATGGCTAGTCATAATTATTGTCTTTTTATTTTTGAGATTCAAATCCAGACCCTACAACTTTAACCATTGCACTGCAAGACGATATTTTTATCGATATAGATTAGAAAATATAAAACATTTTTACATACATATTTATAATAGAAATTAACATTACAATTATATTTAAAAAAGAATAACCGATGCTTCCTGTCGAGTTATGTTCTTTGAATTAATAAATAAATTAGTGGGTCTTCTTAACAAGTTCATAGAGTCCAGAATCAGGCGCCTGCCGAAATTGTTTTAGCAATTACTGAATCTATAGGCGTTATTTTCAGTTACACAAATCTCACAAAAAATGTTTGAGCATAGAAAACGCCAGACAGAAATGAAAACTTAAACTTTGAACTACTTAATGTCGTAACGCGTTATGTAACCAAGTGGTTCACTGCGCCATAAAGATCTGTCTTATCCTGTTATTAAAACTTATTTACATAGTATAATTTATTTGATTCATAGGACCTTAAAAGGTAACGTTTCTAGTTTTTAAATAATAAGTATCAATGAATGAAAAGATGGATTAAATAGAATTAATGAAATGTAAATTAAAAAGCGACACATTAAAAATTACGACACCAGGACTTGAACCGATATCCACAGCATTCCGTGCATTTGCTCTAACCAATTAAGTGTCGTGAATTTTTATAATCTAAAATAGTTTCTTAATACATATAATGGATTCATGTGCAATAACATGAAAAAAATATTAAAGTTTTCCAACGGGAATAACGACTTTTATTGGCAACACTAATCCATGACGTAATCAAGACAGCGTCACTCAACACTCAAAATTTTCTATTTACTATAAATTATATGTAAGCCGACTATATGACGATGAAAGCGGCATGTATTATATTAACATCAATAGTATTGATCGCTATCATGGCAGTCTGCGTGATGGTCAAATTTGCCACAGAGATAACAGTGGAGGAACGAAAGCGGGACTATTATCCTGGCTCCGGCGTCTACCACGTTGCTAAGTCCATCGCAGTTATAGCTCTGAACGAGAACAACAGCGTCTCTATATCCGAGAGGTTTCCATACGTAGCTGCGATAGCCAGGAACTCATCCGCCACTTGGTCTTTCGCCTGCTTTGCCAGTATCGTCCTGGTAAAATGGGTCGTGACGTCAGCGCACTGCAGGAAGAAGGGGGCAACCCATAGAGTCTTACTGCTCCACGATTTCGCGAGGAACATCAGCAATTCCTACCCAATTCTGTATTGGAGGATACACGAAAAATTCGACCCCAATAGTACATCACCGATGTACGATATTGCTGTAGCAAAGTTCAACTTGGAGTACACATTAACTTTGCGTTCCTCTACCTTCGATGAGCGGCCAGTGACGGACGTGGAAGCGAGTATATGGAAGACCGTGTCCACTATGGACAGGCGAGTATACTTAATCAATGATTTCGATAAGTTTCCGTTGAAATTGACGAGCGATAACCGATGTTACGAAAGTTTTGGTATACAAATCGATGAGAGTTTAATCTGTGTGGATATGTCTGACTACGAGGACTGTTTTATACATGAGTTTGGGCCGCTGTATCATGAAGATAAATTGGTTGGCGTTCTGGCTGTGAGGCCGCGGGATTGCGAAGTGAAGTTAGCCGTTTTCACTAATGTATCACACTACGCTACTTGGGTGTTGAAGTTGACGCAGACTACGTTTTACGGTTGATTTTTTTAGTAGTACAATAAATCGATACAAATAATATAAAGCCTGTTTGTTTGAACGTACTAACCTTAGGGAGTACTAGTTCAAATTTAAAAGTTATTTGTGTGTTGGTTAAGGCATTTTAGGACGAAGGCTTTAGGCTACAAAACCTCAACCATTCCGATTTTTGATGATTTCTGATATGATATTGAATAATAGGTATATATAAAAGAATATTTTTTTAAGAATCGAAAATAAATTTAAAAAATTGCATCGTCAGCCGGTTCAAGACCTGCTCGAGTCAAAAAATTTTTCAATTTATTTTCGATTTTTAATATATAGTGCCTTCATGTGCAATAACATGTAAAAAATAATAAAGTTTTCAAAGAATATTTTTTATTAAAATAATTTTGTCACTACAGTACATGCCTATTGTTTAAGATTAATTTACATGAACCGTTTTAATAGTAATCTAATATTTGTCCAAATACATAATATGGCAAAAACAATTTGCCAGGTTAGCTTGTCTGTTACAAAGTTTGACTCCTATATTTTGCGCAAAGAAAACATTAAAATATCAATGAATTAAAACGCGAGTAAAACACATATATTCACAATTTTTGATTAGAATATATCGCGTTTAAATTCGTTATTCTTTTGGTACAAATATGTTTAAATATTAAAGGTTGAAAACGTGTCAGGTGAATTAATCACTCATGCAAAACTTACAAATCTGAAAGCTAAAACTAATATAAATCCACGTCAGTAATGACAAGTCACTCAGTCTAAGCCGTGGGGTTGTGGACTCAGAAAATATTGACCTATCCATTGATTTGCTAAGTGGCTATCGACTTATTTATACTATTAATATAAAGGAACTAGATGAGACACGCGCATCATGCACTTCGAGTACCTCCAAAGGGAAAAATGCTTTCATTTAGATTTCTGTATTTTGAAAGGAAATATAAATTTGTTTCCCAGGCCGATAAGTGTTCTATTTTCTCTGTGAAAAGCCTTTTCCAAGGTAAACACAACAAGAAACAAATATGATTTGACGAAGGTATTTCAACTCCATGCGTGTATGTCCACCTCTATCATTGAAAACAATAAACAAGAATTTCAGCATATTTTTGAGCAGGTTCTTCTCACCTGAGAACCTCTTCTCGCCCACGTCGGCCGAACAGTCCCAAATACAATGATATGCTGAACGATGGCCGTGCTGTGGCCGAAAAATGCGTTACGCTATATCCACATATCCGAGTTCCGGGGAAACAACAAATTGAAACCGTCTTTGGTTCTGTCTGTTTGTTCCCTATGAAGTAGAGACTCTATTACTACATTCACAAATGTAAAAGTTAATTTAACAGTACATAAAATTAGAACGGTGTTTCATCCAGTATTTATTATTCTGTTAAAAACAACAGTAAGGGTTTGCGGACATTTGTCGGGATTTGTTCACGACTCCACGCAACATTGACGCCGCCGCGCTGGGGAATGCAACTATAAATTATTTTTATGACAATCTATGACAGTCAGACATTTTGCACGGAGCCTTTTAAGCAATTGGTCTCGTTTGGGGAGAATTCCGAGTTCTTTGCGTTGATTTTGTCAAAGGAGAGTACTAACTTACGGATGTATGCACTAAAGTGTAATTACAATTATCAAACATGTTAAATATTAAGACTTGATATTTGAGAACTCTGACGTGTTATTGCACATGATGGCTTTGTATAAGTTAAAAATCTATTAAGATTAAAATAAAATACGACCATAGGCGGGAGTTAAAGCGGCATCCACAGCTATAATTATATATAATTAAGCTAACTATAATATTTATTGTGTATTACTACTCTGAACAATATTGTGTATAAGACTTTACGTCGAACAAATAATACAAATGCTTTTCAAGTGACAACCTCTAACGTGTATAACGTTACGTAACTCGTTACGGCGCCAGCAAGGCGCAGTAGGCAAGAACTATTAAAGAATATACCGTGTATTTAATTTAGTCATAAGCAACTGATATTCAGCACTTTCTAGGCACTGAAATATTCAGAAATATAAGTATTCTAGCAACATTCACTGACTTTCTAAAACTAATCTCAAAGTTTAGCAGTAGATACGTCAATGGTATATGTAATAGATAGAAGGGATGATAACAGCGCTATAAAAATAAAACTGTCTGGGATTTATATCTGGGGGAGGCTGACAGATGACTTCTTATTCAAACTTTACTACATATTTACTCCACACTCAAGTCACTGTACATAGTCAAAATATGTATAGATTCTAAGATGGCGATCAAAGTACTATGGCCAAATCGTACCTGATAGCGCCCAGTGATAGCTATAAATAAAAAAATCCATTAGTTTATTCTAGGAAATATTAATAATTCTTAGTATAATTCTAGCTTTATTAAGGCATAAAGCTAGAAAATATGTTTTTTGTTCTAAATATAATTTTTTTACCGGTTTTCTTTTTCAGGAATTATTGTTTTATTCGATTATTTGTTATTAACGTTCAATATACAATGATTTTTTTTTTTTGCTTTTTATGTGTAAAGAGCAAGTAAAAGTGTAAAACGCGCAACAGTAGCCGTGGTCAAGGGGAGCCACAGATGCTGCAAAGCATCCGAAATGTGCCCGTAGTTAAAATAATTGTCAAATAGGTTTCACGAATATATATCGCGTTTTAAACCGTTAAAGTGTTTTAATTAAATGTGTACTACTCGCGTAAACTATAGAAAGTATTTAAAAGTATTTTCACAACTCACCTGCTAAAAAAAATAATTGTTTGTGGTCATTTTGACGTGCTCTGCAAATAGAACCTTTCCTTAGAATTTCTTAGAACTAAAAATTTTATATGGGTGATCTACCGTCCGTACTATCAGTTGTAGCGCCGTCCTGCGGCAGACTCTAAGGCTTGTACACCCCTTCGGAGACCTGGAATATCTCAGCAGTAGGAATTGTGGAAGGATTAGTGTTCGTCAGTTTGTTTTTAGGTTAGAACTGAAATTATTCTGCTTCACATCAACCGGATTCTTAAACACAGAGCAACGCTACCATGCATAGTATTTTTTTCTTACCTGGCATTTTTGGTAAACAAACACACAATTTATATGAAATCATGATTCGGTTTACATTGATTCCACTAAAGCACTGGGTTACTATTTACCTCAAGTTTACTTGGCAAAAACCACAATTGCATGCTAAAATTGATCAAAATTCTACAAATTAATTTACGTAAATGCACAGACTAAAATTCATTTAGTTTGACATTTAAATAAGAATGAGATGTTAGCAAAGTCAGCGACAATAGAAAGTAGAAGTCCTACTTATGCACGATCGTTGAAAAGCGTTACAAACGTCGAGCTAAACAATGAAGACATAAAAAATTTAAAAATTCAGTCGTCATTAGATTGTTTTTGAATATTGAGGTCGTTTAGTCTATATATATTGGATATTTCTTATCTGTGTCAACAACTACACTCTTTATGAAACCATCACTAGAGATCTACGGTTTGAAATCAGTCATATTTGTTGTGGTCTTTTGCCAAGTAAGAAAAAATACACTATACCTACTATGGGATGTGGTAGACGACCCAAGACACAAACCCATTAATATCTTACTACAAGATACACTTGGCGAACTCTGTTATTTTTTATTGTTATTCATGACACCCTGATTGTAGGCAATTCATTAAGAGGGTTCCGTTATGAATAATATTTTTATTGCGAGGGGTGCTTATCCCGCTTCTTACATGATTGGATGAAAGTGAACAGCTATTTCTCAAAGGCAACACATACTTTGTTACTCAAAGTAAGATGAATGGCATATAAAGGCATGTGCATATTAATTAGGTACATAGACAAAGATAATTGTACTGCAGCTTGCCTATACGTTTAAATAAAATATATATACTCATAGTAAGATGGCGGATACCCAAATAAATAACTAAAGCAATAAAACGAATTAAATACTGTCTATAGTTTACGCGAGTAGTACAAATTTAAATAAAACACTTTAACGGTTTAAAACGCGATATATCAGTTAAACTTATTGAAAATGATTTTTAACTTCGGCACGACGTTTCGAATACGTTGCAGAAGCCGTGCAGTCTCCCCGTGAGCACGGTTTTAAACCGTTAAAGTGTTTTATTTACATAAACGAATTTCAATTATTTTATTTTAGTTTTATCTTGAATACATCTTTAAATGCTAGTACATATTGAGTTATGGATAGATAAACAATCGTTGTTTAAGTTTAAGTTAAGCTTAAAAGTTTAAACAAACTGAAGTCTAAAAATTATTGAAAACTTTAAAATGTGCCAATAACATTAGAATTTTTTTTATTGCACATTATAACTCAATTGGTTAGAGCAACAGCTGGGAACGCTGTGGATGCTGGTTCAAGTCCTCTCTGCGTCGTATTTTTTTTCAATCAGATGTTTTAGACGTTTTTAGCTGACGCGAACTATATTTTATATTATATTTATAAGATGGAAAGGAATCGAACCTGCGGTCACAACATAAAAATAATTAAAAATTGTATGATACTTGGCAAAAAGATAGAAGAGATGTAATCATTTTATATAAATAACATTAAATAAAACACTTTAAAAACGGTTTAAAGCCGTGTACGTTGACTCCCCTACAGGCCTCAAAGCATCAAAGTCGGGCGAAGTTAAAAATATTTTCAAATAAGTAATAATATATCGCGTTTTAAACGTTAAAGTGTTTTATTTAAAAATATGTAATCGTGTTTAATGTATTGTACAAGATACTTAATAATTGTACGATATAATTCGCCCAGAATTTACATAATGCTGTAACAATTTTCTTCATCAAAACGACACCCCCTTGATCGCATTGTGCCCCTGAGAGAAATATCATTTGTTATTTTAACCATTAACAGCATTTTAATTGTCGCCGCGGGAAAAACATTATTGTTTTAGTTTACATGACAAGCGAAAAGCCGGGAGATAATCGTTTTATTTGAAACTTAGTTTGTTTGGCAAGTGATTA